GGGACGGGAGGCCGAGGCGCTCCCCGCGTCCCCCGCGTCCCCGCCCCGCCTCGGCGAGCCCGCACTGCGCGTTGGAGAGCGCCTTCCCAGACGTCCGCGCCAGCCCGCGGCCTCCCGGCCCGGGAACGCCTCTGCGCGTCGGTCGCCGGCCTACGGGGTCCAGCAGGGCGGCAGAGCGTCGGAACGCGGGGCCCCGCGGAAGGAGCGCTTCACCCGGGGCCGCGTGACTTCCGGGAGACCCTCCGCCTTTCCTCACTGTAAGGCTGGCCCCGCCCAGTCACGCTTCCCTCTGACCAGACGTCCCCGCGGAAACCACACGGTTCTAGCTCCGCTCTGACTTCAGAGAAGCGGGGTAATCTTACCAGAGCGTCCACACATTCATGTCGCGGTGGTGCTGACCTGAGGTGTGTCAGACCCCGCCCTACGGGTGACCCCACTTCAAAGGGACAGGGAATCACGGCCATCCTGGAGGTAGCCTCTGGACCAGTTCTCCCAGCCAGAGTCCCGGCAGCCTGACTTGCATTCCCCACCTTCCCGGGTCCACAGCTCCCAACTTTCCCCTATGCTCTGACTCAGGTCCATGCCCTCCGGCCTCTCTCCTGGGTTTTTCTCCCGCGAGACTGAACTGCTTGAACATGATCAGCAGCCTCCCGTAATTCCCTTACTTCACACAAACACTATCCAGACCTGGAGGTTGTCATCATCAAGCTATCCAATCCCAGACAGCGATCGCATTCTTGATACCCCGAATTCCTTCCCATGGACAATCCAGGGCCTCTCCTGACCTCTATGCCTGTTCACAGTTCTCTCCACGAAGGACAGTCCAGCGCATCTCTAGAAGAACGGGCCACTCCCCATCTCTGTGCCAGTACTCACAGTTGTCTCCGTGATGGACAGTCCAGCACATCCCCACCTCTGTGCCTGTATTCACAGTTGTCTCCGTGATGGACACTCCAGGACATCTCCATGAGCACAAAGGGCCTCTCCCCAGCTCTGTACTGGTAATCATACTTCTGTCAAGGACAGTCTAGCGCATCTCAAGTTGCAGAAGGTGCCTCTCCCTACCTCTGTGCCTGTACTCGCAGTTCTCTCCCTACCATGGACAGTCCAGCAATCTCCTGGAGCACACAGGGCCTCTCCATAACTCTGTGCCTGTACTCACGTTTCTTTTCCCGCCATGGACAACCAATTCATATCCGGAACACACATCTCTCCCCACCTCTGTGCCTGTACTCACAGTTCTCTCCCTGATGGACAACACTTCAGCTCAACTCCAGGAGTACACAGGGCCTCTCCCCACCTTTGTGCCTATCTCACAGTTTACTCTGTAATGGACAGTCCAGCATACCTCCAGGGTCAGACACAGCCTCTTCCCACCTCTGTGCCGGTACTCACAGTTCTCTCCCAGATGGACAGTCCAGCATATCTCCAGGAGCAGACGGGGTCTCTCCCCACCTCTCCAACTGTACTCACAATTCTCGCCCTGCTATGGAGAGTCCCACCCAACTCTGGGAGAGCACAGCGCCTCTCTGCACCTGTGTCTGTACACACAGTACTTTCCTTGATGGATATTCCAACACCTCTCTGGAGGGGACACGGCCTCTCCCCACCTCTGTGCATGTATTCACATTTCACTCCAGCCATGGACAGTCCAGTGCATCTTGAGCACCACACAGGGCTTCTCCGGACCTCTGTGCCTGGATTCCGTTGTCTCCTTGATATATGGTCCAGCGCATCTCTAGGAACAGATAGGGCCACTCCCTACCTCTTTGCCTACACTAACGGTTCTCTCCCTGATGGACAGTCCAGCGTATCTCTAGGAACAGATAGGGCTGCTCCCTACCTCATTGCCTATGCTCATAGTTTTCTCCATGATGGACGGTCCAGTGCATCTCTAGGAACAAAAGGGACATATCCCTACCTCTGTGACTGTCCTCACAGTTCTCTCCCTGCCTTGGAAATTACAGCACATCTCCAGGAGCAGACAGGTCCTCTCACCAATCTGTGCCAGTACTCACAGTTCTCTCCCTGAAGGACACTCCAGTTCATCTCCAGGGGTAGACAGGGCTTTCCCCACCTCTGTGCCTGTACTCAAAATACTCTCCCTGATAACTAGTCCAGCACATCTCCAGCAGCAGACATAGCCTCCCCCTACCTCAGTGTCTGTACACACAATTATCTCCCTGATGGACAGTCTGGCATATCTCCTCCAGCACACAGGGGCTGTCCACGCCTCTGTGCCAGTACTCACAGTTCTCTCCCTGATGGACAGTCCAGCACATCTCTAAGGAGCTGAGAGGCCTCTGTACCTCTGTGCTTGTGCTCAGTTTTCTCCGTGATGGACAGTCCCGCATATCTTTAACAGCAGACACGGCCTTTCCCCACCTCTGTGCTGGTACTTACAGTTCTCTCCTTTTTTTTTTTTTTAAGATTTTATTTATTTATTCATGAGAGACACAGAGAGAGAGGCAGAGACCCACAGAGAGAGAGAAGCAGGCTCCATGCAGGGAGCCTGATGCAGGACTCGATCCCTGGGCCGGGGGATCACACCCTGGGCCGAAGGAGGGGCACTAAACTGCTGAGCCAACCAGGGATTCCCTAGTTCTCTCCTTGATTCACAGTCCAGCCCATCTCCTGAGCAGACAGGGCCTCTCTGCACCTCTGTGCCCGAACTCAAGAGTTCTCTCCCTGCCATGGACAGTCCAACACATCTACCAGAAAAGACATGACCTCTCCCCACCTCTGTGCTTATACTTACAGTTCTCCTCTGATCGACCATCCAGCACATCTCCAGGAGCAAACAGGGCTTCTCTGCACCTCTGGGCCTACACTCACAGTTCTCTTCCTGTCATGGGCAGTCCAGCGCATCTCTAGGAGCAAACAGGGTCTCTCCCTACCACAGTGTCTATACAAACAGGTATCTCCTTGATGGACAGTGCAGCACACCTCCTTGAGCACACAGGGCATCTCTGCACCTCTGAGCCTGTACTCACAGTTTTCTCCCTGATGGACAGTCCAGCACATCTCCTGGAGCAGAGAGGGCCTCTCAGCACCTCTGTGCCTATACTCACAGTTTTCTACCTGCCTTGGAAATTATAGCACATCTCCAGGAGCAGACAGGTCTTCTCCACAGTCTGTGCCTGTATTCACACTTCTCTCCCTGATGGACACTCCAGCTCATCTCCAGGAGTACACAGGGCATCTCCCCACCTCTGTGCCTATCTCACAGTTTACTCTGTAATGGACAGTCCAGCATATCTCCAGCGTCAGACACAGCTTCTCCCCACCTCTGTGCAGGTACTAACAGTTCTCTCCTTGATTCACAGTCCAGCCCATCTCCTGAAGCAGACAGGGCATCTCCACGCCTGTGTTCCTGAAATCACAGTTACCTCCCTACCGTGGACAATCCAACATATCTCTGGGAGCAGAGAGGCCCTCTCCCCACCTCTGTGCCTTTACTCACAGTTCTCTCCCTGCCATGAACAGTCCAGCGCATCTCTAGGAGCAGACAGGGTCTCTCCCTAACTCAGTGTGTGTACTCACAGTTATCGCCCTGATAGATAGTCCAGCCTATCTCTAGGACCAGAGAGAGCCTCTCCCCACCTCTGTGCTTGTATTCAAACTTCTCTCCCTGATGGAGAGTCCAGCACATCCCTAGGAGCAGAACAGGCCTCTCCCCACCTCTGAAATGATTCTCCCTCTGAAATGGAGAGTGGTGCACATGTCTAGAAGCAGACTGGGCCTCTGTACATCTCTGTGCTTATTCTCACAGTTCTCTCCCTAATGGACAGTCCAGCGCACCTCCTGGAGCATAGACGGTCACCCCCTACCTCTGTGCCTATATTCACATTTTTCTCCCTGATGGATAGTCCAGCCCATTCCAGGAGCAGAACAGGCCTCTACCAAACTCTGTGCCTGGACTCCCAATTCTCTCCTGATAGTCCAGTGCATCTTTGGGAGCACACAGGGCTTCTCCCCACTTCTCTGCCTATACTCACAGTTCTCTCCCTGTTGGACAGTCCACTGCATCTTATAGAGCAGACAGGGCCTCTCCCTACCTCTTTGCCTGCACTCACAGTTTTCTCCCTGATTGACATTCCATCGCATCTTGTGGAGGAGACGGGCTCTCCAACCTTGGGTCTGAACTCATTGTTCTTTCCCTGTTGGACTGTCCAGTGCATATCCAGGAGCACACAGGGCCTTTCCCCTCCTTTTTGCCTGTACTCATAGTTCTCTCCTTCCTGCCACCTTATGTAGTCCAGTACTGGTTAGCAGAACTGGGCTCAAATCCTGGTGTTTGGTAAGTATCTTAACATCTGTAAACTTCAGATTTTTTCATTGTATAGGGCAGGAAATTAGACTCAAATGGGTGAAAAGAGCTTTTCTTATGGTTCACGGTTATTATGTGCTTATCTGCTCTATGCTCTGCTCCTTCTAACCCCACTCCACCCCAAGACAATCTTTGCCCCTACCTTTCATAGCCTTCCACTATGAACTAAATATTCATTTACCGTAGAACCTACATGTTAGATGTTGTAGAAAATATATTGTTTTTTGTTTTGGTTTCAAATGCATTGTATAATTAAATGCAGAGAAATGGAGAAATTCATCTTAAGTCTATTAGGAAAGCTTTGCTGTCCTTGAAGAATGGATATATTTTTCTTTCTAAATACAAAGTAACTAACCTCAGTTGGCGGAATGCTCTGTTGGCACCTCTATCTGGGTACCTATAGCATACCATAGATTGTCTTGATCTTGGTCTTCAAGGCTTTCTCCTTTTTCTAAAGCTGACTTATATGTGTTTCAGTTTTTATTTTATCAATCTTAAAGTTATATTGAATCCTTTTTGACACGTGATAGTTATAATAAAATAGATGGCTGTTGCCTATCATTACAGTTTGCAGAAATGTCTTCTAATATAATTGTAATCCTAGTTTTCCATTTCTGGCACTGGATTTATAGACCCTGCAGGAGATGAAATGAAAGGCTATAGGCTGATGCACTGCAGAATCATAACAATTAGCATTTATTGAGCATTTACTTTATGTTAGGCACTGTTTTCATCATTTTACATGAATAAGCTCCCTTATTCCTTACAACAGTCTCTGAGAAGGGAAAGCCAGGAGGCCAGCATCCCTGGAACTCCAAAGGAAAATATGTCCCAAGAGTGAATTTACATAATTCAAGGTAAGACAAAAAGGACCAAAATTTTTATGAGGTTATCTCTCCCTTCAAAAGACTAAAGAGATTGTACTCGTAAATTAAACCCTGCCGGTCTGGATTAAAACTAGAGTCCAGATCTGTATTATACCATGTATTTAGATGGGGCTTCTGAGAGATTTAAGACAGTTTCTAACTTCAGAAGCTTCTGGGAAAAAAGCACCTGAAAGAATCAGAAAACAGAACAGGAAAGTTTGTAATGCAGGAAAATAAATTCAAACCTCCAGAGCAAAGCACTTCTGAGGTGGAGGACTCAGACTGTCAGATGAGGCAGGATTTGAGAAAGGCCTTTTAGAAAGTGTGGACAGGATTTCTGGCGATACCAGGAGGAAAGCAGGACATGTGAAAGGGTGCCATAGAATCATGTGAAAAGGAGCCACGTGAGAATAGGGCATAGTAGACACACAGGAAAGGCCTGCCCACAGGTCCTGGGGAGTAAAGGAAAATAAGTAAATAGATCTAACTGTGGAAGGCCTTGGAATTAAACCATCTGATCTTTTTCCTGGGAACTGTGGCCTCTTTGAACAAGGTGGTGGTTTAGTCAGGCAGCTACATCAAGACAGGGAGACAAGAGCAGCAGTGTTGACTCTAGTAATCTGGGCCCAAACTGCTGAGCACCTAGCACCTAGCAGCAGCACCAAGAATAGAGGGAGAAATCAACTCATAAGCCATTTCAAATGAAACCTAGCAGGCTGATTACCTGGGAGAAAGTAGGCAGGAATTACAGATCATTTAGTGACTATTCAGCACTTTGGATGTTTTACAGGGATCTAAAAGATTTTTTTCTTCAAGAAGCTTACAATCTAATTGAGTAACCTCAGGTATTATATATATAACCTGATAAAATGAGATTATTCTGGTCTAACTCTTGCCTAAAGTTCTAGAGCTGATCATTGTTAATCAGAGTGTCTGGGAGGTAGGAAAAGTGTGGATCAGCACAGAATAGGATGCCAGAAGAAGTTAAAATTTTAAGGCATAAGCATGGCCAAAAGTGCCAGTTCTGCAAATGTCAAGTAGAAAAAAAAGACTAAGAAATAGGCACTGAATTTGTCCTTGAGAGATCAGCTTTATAGGATTTGGGAGAGTTGGGGCCAGAGGGTGTACATTTCATGAAGTCTATAAACAAAAGAAAAATTTAAAAACTAGGGCAGCATTTTTTTCTAAATAATGGAAGAACTAAATGAAAGTCTTAAGACAGTCTTGGTAATAATAATATAAAATAATATTAGGATTAATTAGGCACATTAGAACTATGGTTTATACTTTGAGGAAAATCTACTACAGTAAAAAAAGGTGTAAGAGAGAAATCTGTCCTTATAAAAGAGACTGAATTTACCTCAACACTATTATCACCAAACTAGTGGGAAGCTTTTTGTCCTGTTCTGAAGCCAGCTCCTTCTCTTCTGCTACTGGAGCCAGTATCATTCACACTGAAACACTCACACAGTCACACATTGGATTTCCTCTTTAAGTCAGGGGCTGATGTGCTTGGGAAACAAAGTTCCCTGACTGTTCAGGGACCTAAACCCCATGGAATAGATAAAGTGGGCAAATACAAGGTGTCAGGTAGGTCTATACACTACGGCTAGAGTCCTCCAGAAGAGGAGATGGACTGTATCAGGTTCTTAAAATCATCCCCTTGTACCAATCACTCATTTGAGCATCTAGATTACAGAAAGGAAGGCAGGCAGGCTAACTTGAAACTAGCTTATAGCTAGCTAGTAAAGAAGAAAACTTCAAAGATATCTATATTTTTCTTTTCAGCTGTAGGAAGTTAATGCTGTGTGCTCTTTTGTGAACACTGATGAAAGCTCAAATATCATTCTTTGGTGTGAAGTTGCTGATGTCTGATGAGTGTTGAACTTTGACCAAAGGCTTTCCCACAGTCATTACATTTGTAGGGCTTCTCTCCAGTGTGAGTCCTCTGGTGAATAAGAAGGGAGGAGCCCCGACTGAAGCCCTTCCCACACTCTCTGCACTCATGGGGCTTCTCTCCCGTGTGGATTCTCTGGTGCTCGGTGAGGGATGAGCCTCGACTGAACACTTTCCCACACTCACAGCATGCATAGGGGTTCTCTCCAGTGTGTGTTCTCTGGTGCTCAATAAGGGAGGAGATCCAGCTGAAGGCCTTTCCACATTCACTGCACTCATAGGGGTTCTCGCCAGTGTGGATTCGTTGGTGCTGAATTATGGTGGAACGGTCACCAAAGGCTTTCCCACATTCATTACACTTGTAGGGTTTTTCTTGAGTGTGGGTTCGCTGATGTTGACTGAGGTTAGTGCTTCGGCTGAAGGCTTTTCCACATTCACTGCATTCGTATGGTTTTTCTCCAGTGTGGATCCTCTGATGTAGACTAAGATGAGTGCTCCGGCTAAAAGCTTTCCCACAGTCACTGCATTCATATGGCTTCTCTCCAGTGTGAGTTCTCTGGTGCTCAATAAGGTGTGTACTTCGGCTAAAAGTCTTCCCACACTCATTGCATTCAAAAGGCTTTTCTCCACCATGAATTCTACTGTGAATGATAAGGTCTGATTTGTAACTGAAGGCTTTCCCACACTCAATGCATTTACAAAGTTTCTTTTGTGGGAAAAGTTTTTGGTGTTCAATAAAGTCTGAATTATCTTTGGAATTCTTCCTAGACATGGGGGATCTAGCTCCCTTTGGAATGTCCTGCTGTATATTAGCTTTTGAGCTTAGGCTAAATTCACTGATTCAGGAGCTCTCTCCCTAGTGAAAATTTCCTTGAGGGTCATTGACACTTTTCTGATGGCTGTTTTCTCAAAAGATATCTTCTGTACAGGACATTTTGTCTGCCTTGATAACCGGCCCTTGCCTTTATAGGCCTCTTCATTTGCAGGACCTTGGGCAGTATTCCCTGAGAATTTCCATCGCTGACCCTGAAAACTTTAGTTCTTCAGAAATAGCCTGATAGGTGTAGATGCTTTGGCTCAGTTCAAATCTCCCTATCTGAAAGACATTTAAAGTGCAGATGTCACCTGCATCTAGTATGGAGAACAAGGAAAATAAACCAGCAGAAAAAGAAAAAAAAAAAAAAACGACAAAAATTTGCAATTCACACACACTAGCAACTTTATATGGGAAGAAAACAAAAAGGGACAGTTAGAGGAGGGAAGTGAATGGGGCAGAAGAGATAACAGGAAGAATTTTTTTACTCAGCACAGGGAGCTCAGAGACATCAGGATATACCAGGATATACAGGAAGGGTGAGTGCGTACTATGCTGAGCCCCAAAAAAATGGAAATAAGCAGATACGCCAGTTGATGAGCAGAGAGTAGGGGATTAGGAGGTAAAATGATCTGTCAGTTACTGTAACTGATCATCAGCAATGGTAAATGGGAGAAAGGAAAGGGATGAGAAGAGTAGACTCTGAAGTGTAGAAAAGATACCCTCTAAAAAAGCAAACAGTAAGGATGATTCTATCAAGCTTGGATGTAATCATTTTCATGGAATTGAGAGAGAATAGGATTTAAGACATGCTATCTACCACCCTTCTGCCACCCCTACCTGTCTCCCCACCATCCTTCCAATTAGTTTAGGAATTCTTCTAAACAACACTACTATCAGAATTCACCCAGGCCAGCTCATATTTATCTGACAAATAGAAAGCAGACTCAAGTTACCTGGCGAATTCCAAGAGGTCAGACTAGAACTCATGTCTCTTCAATATCAAATTGGTGGTCTTTTCATGGTGTCACCTACCCAAACAGGTAGTTTCACTCACTGCCCTCTTCGGTTTCCTGAAGATTCAGCTATCACAGCTGTTCTCTAACTGAAGGACCATGTCCAGTTCACATGCTGGGATTCCTGATGGGAAATGATGATTTAACACAAGGCTCTGGGTGCTAGAGACACAGGGCTATTCAGAGTCCAATCTTAATGCTTTGACCTATAGAGACAATAGTGTAAACGTTCAGAAACTGTGGGAGGAGGGCCTGGTGAAAATGGCTTTCTGAAAGTGGCCAAAATTGGGTTCCAGAAGGTTATACACATTCACATCAGAATCCCCTGTGGAACTTATTATTCAAGATACTTGGGCTTTGCTTCACAGCTAATAGGTATGATATGGGGCCCAGACATTTGTATTTTATAACTTCATCTAACTTGACAAGTAGAATTGTCCAAAAAGAACCTTAGAAACATACTCCGGGTTGCCTGAAAAATGTGCTCCCCAACGAACGTTCCTCACAGAGCAGGAGGGTCTAAAATATAAACTCAGCCTTCCCCACTAATGCTTTTTTCTTTAAGCCATTCTCTTGTGGATTCCTCTTGAGCACTTGTGCTTGACAACAGGCTACAAACTATAACATTTCCTCTAAAGCTTCTGCTCACAGCATAGTTTAAACTCCCCTGGGTCAAGACATAATTTAGTTTCAGAGGTATTTCCTTTCTTGTAGACTGGGAACCTCCCAGGTGCACAGGTGAACCTTGGACATCCACCAAGAAGTCATGCATACAGAACCTCAATGGCAGTATGATGATGTTGTTGGGACTCAGCTTTGCCAAAACCATGCCTTTCATCTGGAAACAGAGAACACAGAAGCCCTACCACTAGACTAAATAAGTCTCATTTATATAGAACCTTCCAGTAAGATCCAGCTGCATACTTTATGGTACCATCATTCCTTAGTAGGAATTTGCCTTCTTACAAGGTTGGCTGGCCTCATTCTTATAGCAGAGACACTTCAGCTTCTCCATCATTACTCTGTTGATACTTCACTGTTATTTCTTTTATTACAGTAATTCTCAAGGCAGTAGTACTACTTCCCAGGGAGAGTTCCAGGAATTGGTGAGGGTTTTTTTGGAGATTGTCATGTTGATTGGATGGTGCTATTGGAATTTAGTGGGGGTCAGGGATAATGGATATTCCTGCAAAACAAAAAAAATGTTCCTCATCCTGTATGACTTTCAAAAAAGTTGTTAATAGGGGCGCCTGGGTGGCTCAGTCGGTTAAGTGTCTGACACTTGATTTTGGCTCAGGTCATGATCTAAGGGTTGTGAGATCCAGCCCTGTGTTAAGTTCTGTGCTGGGCATGAAGCCTGCTTAAGATTCTCTCTCTCCTCTCTTTGCCCCTCCCCCTGCTCTAAAAAAAAAGTTAAGGGACACCTGGGTGGCTCAGCAGTTGAGCATCTGCCTTCTGCTCAAGGCGTGATCCTGGAGTCCCAGGATCGAGTCCCACATCAGGCTTCCTGCATGGAGCCTGCTTCTCCCTCTGCCTGTGTCTCTGCCATTCTTTCTGTGTCTCTCATGAATAAATAAATAAAATCTTTAAAATAAATAAATAAATAAATAAATAAATAAATAAATAAATAAATAAATAATTTTAAAAAAGTTAATAGTTACCTTAGGCTAGAACATAACACTATATTACATAGAGCTACAATATATTTTGCATAGCTGATAGATATTGGAAAATTAAGGAAATATACTTCTTCTTTGGATGTTAAGAATTGTTCACCATTTCAGGAAAATTAAACCACTTATGGAGTTAGATTCACAAATACGACATTCATGTATCAGGCTATATTTGGAGCTGTTGTATGCACAGTGATTCTGTGAATAGGTGCAGGCCTCTATTTCATCCAATCTGTACACAATGAAATATATACTATCCTAATATAAATTCTTTCCTTCATATCAGAGTTAGATAATATATTGATATTCAGAAATTATATCTATAGGTAATATTATCTGTAAGTTTTACTTCAGGATAGCAAATTGGGACTTCTGTTCACAGTGGAATATTACTACATTAGTACATTTTATATTCCATCCTGGAGAAGAGATATAGAAAATGTTTAGGTTTTTTGTGGTTTAGGTCTTCCCTCTAATCAGGAAGATCTGAAATTTGAAGATCTTTGTAAATTGTCTTCCTAGGACCATGAAAACATAAGCTACCTAAAAGTAAGCAGAATATCCTGACTAGAGAAAAGAACTAGGACAGAAGTCAAAGGAGATGGCCAGTTTGAGGTTGATAGTTCTCCTTAATGCTCGTTCACACCTTGGGATTGACAAACTGAGCCAATGTGCTATCGGTTTATCTACATAATTCAATTCACATATATACCATGTAGTACAGGTATCCCAAACTGTAGTTGTTTTGGCATTTCAAATAAATTCATTATATATATATATATATATGTGACACATGATCGATAACATAGAAACTCCATTGGGGAAAGTTTCTACATTAAAACAGAAGACCCTAACTTGGGAGATTCTTTAGGTCTTGTGGGTCTGCCCATTATAAACATTTTATGAATATGGACTCATTTATGCTTCACAACAGTGAGTGGGGTACTATTGTTATTCCCACAATACAAATGAAGAACTGAGAAATGAAGAGGTTAAGTAATTTGGCCCAAAGCTAAGTGTTAAATACTGGACTCAAACTCACTAGAGAACAACACTTGAGTTGCACTCTCCACTCCTGTGGCCCCTAAATGGCCAACAAATTAACCTCCACCGATCCCAGGGTACCAGCATGACCGTAACCACAGAACGCCATGGGGGTTTAGAGAGTGCCTGCCTCTGAAAGGTGACTGCCCTGAGAGGCTACAGTGAGTCCCAGTCATGCAAAAGCCCTATCTATATAACCTGAGCATTAAATTTTCAGGTCACCTCAGTGCAGGTGGCACCGCTGGCACGATGCAGTGAAACATTAGATAGAGGTCCTGTGATGTAAGCATTTACCAGGTAATCTGGACTTAAAAAAAAATCTATTTATTAATTTGAGTGGAGAGGGCAGAGGGAGAGGCAGAGAGAGAATCTCAGCAGTTCTACTCTAAGCACAGAACCCAATGAGTTTGATCCCACAACCCTGAAATCATGATCTGAGCTGAAACCAAGAGTTGGATGCTTAACTGATTGTGCCACCCAGGCACCTCGGTAATCTGGATTTTGATCGTAGTTCTATTGATAGCTATATAAAAACCAGGGGAAAATAATTAATCTATTTATGTTTCATCTGTCCAATGAAGATGTTGGCCTTGATTGTTTGGTACAAAGCTTTCTGATTCCTGGAATTTAGTTTTAGGTCCCAAATACTAAGGCACATACATGTGTGCTTAGACTAAGGGGATTAGACTAATGTGAACCTTGTCTTTTTCAAATCACCAGAGACATGTGAGATCCTAAGGTCCATGTTTCAGATAAAACCATTTAAGAAACAGGCCAGTAAGGTGTTCTTCAAACACCTAATGATGAAATTGAGAAAAGGAGGAAGACATGAAGGGCAATAAGTCAGCAGGCAAACAAGGAATAGTCCCATCCTGGGCAAAATGTGGCAGACTCACCCAAGGGAAGTTCTACGAAAAGAGATATAAATGTATCGCCTGCTTGGTGAAATGACACCCTCAGAAAAGAAGGAAGAATCCTTTACTTACATGGGACATAGCTCTTCTAGTAAGATGACAATTGCCTTTACCTCTTCTGCCTCCTCTTGGTTTTCTTTTGGGTCAAAGGCAAAGCTAGCAAAAGCCGTATCCCAGGCAGCCAGAATCACTGGTCTAGTAATGTCCACATCTGGTCAACTGAATGCAACTGTAAGGGTTGAGGTAAAACAAATGCCTAAAAGCAAGCCTACCTCCTCCCATAGACATTGATGTGTGACCCAAAGTCTCTAGTTCTTTAATGATAAAAAGTAAAAGGGATGGATCTGGACCAAGTCTAAACCCTCCCTAAACTCCCTAGGTGATCTGAGGCCAAAATCCAGGCTCTTTATGAATTTCCTCACATGGGATAGGAGTTCAAGCAGAGTATGACAGCAGTCTCTTAATTACTTCTGAGGATCAAAGCGGAAGGCAGCTCACACTGCTCCACCACCATAAGGCTGGGCATCCCTGGGCAAGTCTACTCACCTTTCTGAAAGTCACGTCCCACACTGTAAGATGGCATACCTCAGTCCTTACTTTTCTCACAAAGCTTCTGTTAATGCTACAAGTTAAAAGACAGCAAAGCATTTACAATAAAGAATGTCATATACAACATAAAGAGATATTATTGCAGTGTACATCTCAAATGAATTAATTTTAGAATTGTGAGGGTGTACATTTAAGCAAAGATGCTCTCAGAGAATGTGTGAGGCTCTCTTCAGCGGCTACTGCTCTAGAGCAGGGACAGATGAGTTCTTTTTCCTGGCTTTGGAGGATGCACTCCAAGGCAGGCCTGGTGTGTATGACAAAAGTCTCAGCGGGGAACCCTCAGATATTTCAGAGAGGCTAGGAGGTTATTGTCTCTGCAAGCTCAGAGCCATTCCCTTGCTCAGGTGCCATCCAAGGGATTTCTCTGCCATAGAGTGGCTAGTCCTTTTCTCTTTTCCTCCTTTCTACCTCTGGATCACCTTACTGCTTTATACATACTGTAGCCCCACCAAATCATTATTCTCTCGAGTACAGAGGTCATAAGTGCTGCAGCACCAGCCAACCCAGTCTGCTTTTCTGGGACTAACTTCCCACCGCTGTCCACCTTCTATTACCCTAACCATATGAAATTCTTTTGACCATGCCATTTCCTCTTCAAATCAATTTGTAATCCAGCAAGACTTCTCCCTTATTTCTATTCCCTTCAGTATTAAGAATTTCTCTCATTCAGAAGGAAGCAGGTTCTGAAGGTTCTGGGATAGCTATTGTCCAGGGGCTTTGTTTTCTGGTCTTGGGCGGACTGCTTGCTGGAGACCTTGCCTATGCACAAAGGAATCAGCACCAGGGCCCAGGCAGCCAGAGTTCGACCCTGGAACACAGATTGTCAAGTCCTGAAACCTACTAACAGATAGTCTTCAGGCAACAGTGTTCATAGAAACTGGTTCAAAATAACACAGAATTTGATACACAGAATTTGTCAATAAATAAGGACCTACTATCTGAAGTACCAACTATTAACATCAGAACCATAAAATAAAAGCTACTACTCACAAGCTGTGTAACTTCAAGGAAGGTGCCTCATTTCTGTGTGCCTCAGTTTCCTCATGGGCATCATGGGGATACTAAGAGTATATGTCATGGGGTGATTGCGAGGTTAGTCAGTCCGGGTAGAAACTCAAGGGCCAGTGATAGGCTCACCCACGGGCCCTTCGACGTGTGGCGTGGTGGGGAGGGGGTCTGGGGGGCCCAGGGGAGCGGAGCGCTGGGGGAGCCAGGGGAACGGGGGCTGGGGGGGAGGAGGGCGTGGCTGGGGGGGAGCAGACGGCTGGAGGGGCCCAGGGGAGCGGGGATGCAGCTGGAGGCCACCGTCTGGCCGCAGCGCAGTCCCAGGACAGCACCGGCTCCCTGGCCAGCGCACCCCGAGTCTCAGGAGTGGAGGCGCCTCCCGGCAGGGTCTACAACCAACCCGCTCGGGCTTTGGGCTAGAAAAGGGCCTCCCAGGGCCTCCGGGCCCTCCCGCCCAGACCAGGCCCGGTGCCTGGCGTCCGGCGCCCTGAGCGTTGCACTCACCGGCCGCCTCCAGCCCCGCGTCGGGACACACCGAGCCCGGGACACACCCGCGGCCGGACCTACTCTGGATGGAACCCGAGTGCGCGGCGAGCGGAGGGAGCCGGAAGGCTTAGCGCGGGGCCCGCGCGCCCGCCCGCTGCTCGCTCGCTCACCCAGCCGGCCCGGGCAGCAGCGCCTCCTCGCGCGCTCGGTGGGGCCCGGCCTCGTCCTCCCGGCGCTGGCGGCCTCGTCCTCCCCGCGCAGACCTGCAGCAGGACTACGGAGCTGGTGGGGAGCGTGGGCGGCGAGGTTCTGCGCCTGCGCCTGAGAGCTCTGGCCCGCGGTGTCCGGAGCCCTTCCCGCGGTGGGGGAGGGGGGTGCTGCGAGGTCGCAGGGGGTGGGGCTCCCGGACAGCCTGGGGCGCGCCACTCGGCGCAGCTCGGACCCTTGCTGCCTAGGTGGTTGGGAGCTGCGTACCCGCCCAGGTCCCCGGCCTGCGCAGGGTCCCCTGAACGCGGCTCTTCCAAGGCCCTCTGCGGGCGGCCCCCGTGCTCACGGCGGAGACCTGGCTCTGCCCGCCTCCAGATCCCTCCAGAGCTGTAGCGACGTACCCTAATCTGTTAGATTGCTACACAAAATTTTAATAGGAGGGGATCCCTGGGTGGCTCAGTGGTTTAGCGCCTGCCTTCGGCCCGGGGCGCGATCCTGGAGTTCTGGGATCGAGTCCCACATCAGGCTCCTTGCATGGAGCTTGCTTCTCCCTCTGCCTGTGTCTCCGCCTCTCTCTCTCTCTCTGTACTCTCATGAATAAATAAATAAAATCTT